CACATAAATCAAGATCACCTTGACAAAGAGAAACTCCATTAAATGTTCCACAATCACAGCAGCGAATATGATTCATCGTAGACCAAGTCGAGTACAAGATCGGTTACTTGAGATGAAGAGCCGAGCTACGACACGTCCTACCAACATGGCGGCGGCTATGGTTACTAATAGTGAATACTGGCAAGCTGTTGATTTTGTTTTGTGTCTTCTAGAAATGGTACATGTTTTTATACATATATTTCGTAGTTATACTAATAATATTGTTTTGAACTAATTGTTATGATACGACATATCAAGACATGAAAGTACGGGGTTATGAGACGGGGAAAATGGTATGTAAATTATTTTTAAACAATGGTGTGCACGAATTGTCCCCCCCAGATTTTGCCTGTCCTGTCACTGCATTGTAAAATTAATAGCAATATGTTATAACTTATTTACTTATTTCATTTGTTTTGATGATGATGATATATATATATATATATATATATATATATATATATATATATATATATATATATATATATACATATAAGATTAGGTGTATTAGGCGACAAGGATCTGAAGACCTAATTGTCGGCAGAATTATTCCTCCATCAAAAATGTTATTCTAGTTTTTGTTTGGCTCAGTTGGCTTTCGATTATATTTGTTCATTTGTGCGTCTGTCGACACCAGCAGATTAAATCAAAATTGGCGAGTTTTGCGAAATCGTCGGGAAGAGCGTTAATGTGAATACTGAGAAGAATGTTCGCCAAGATATTATATATATATATATATAACGTAATAATCGCTAGTAAAACGATACAATTAATCATAGACAAAAAAATAGATAATATAAAAAAAAGGAGTCCATATCTATATATTAGATTTTACCCGTCATTTTTGTGACAATTTTTGCATAATTGTGTGTATAACACAATATATAAGACACACAAATGATATGGGGTAAATTTGTGCTGACAATTCATTTACGTCATAGACCTTTAATGCAGGTCATTCTGTTTTGCAAATCGGACTCAAAAAGGCCGAACGTATCCAGTCCGTGTATCACATCACACCTAATCACATTTACTTCAAGAGCCAATTGAAGAAGGCTGGCTGGTGGCCATTTTACTGTCAAATTTTACAAATCAAGAATTGTTGTTTAGGATCTCGGTTATGCATAAACATATATTATTCCAGTTTCGCACACACATATACGCATACGAGTTTATTTCATGATCCAATCAAGATGCCAACTTGGGACTATTTAGTGCAACAAATGAAAACAAAACCAGCATTTGAACTAATTTCGTTGGAACCTTGGTAGATTAAATAGGTACTAGATACATCATTGAACTTAAAACTAACCTGTGAAAAAAAAAACATGTACCAGTGTTACCATATGTTGATCAAAACCATTCTGATGTTGATCAAAGCCATGTCTTGATTTGATTAAAAAAAATCAAATATACGTCATATGCTAGAATGCTAGTACACTAATTTAATGATGACTAACTTAACCATTGTTAAGTAGTGTACAATGCACACAAAGCCAGCTACGATAGAACCCAATTTCAGGCACTAAATATTTTATTGCAGCTGTGTTTGTAACGTAGTGGGAAGGCTGCGATCACATCTTTGAATAAACAGTTATCTCATTGAAATGCAATGATTGGTTCTTGAAAAAAAAGTTAATTATTATGCATATATTTCAACCCCAAATAAATTAGGTCTGTGTATTGTTCCAAGGCACATACTTATATACCAAGTTTCATTATGTGACGGTTAATACTTATGCAAATTAGTAATTATTGGTTATTAGTAAGAAACACAAATTAATTGCATTGTCTCAGTGCATTTACGTACACGAATTCACTGAAAAAAGATACTTAAATATTTATTTCAAGCTAAAAACTGACTAATCATTATGCAAATCGCACACATGTGTACAGATTTTAATATAAACTAATAAGGTCTGCACAATGTCGCAGACCATCAATGAACCAAGTTTTATTGAAATGTGATACATTCATTATGCAAATTATGCAATTAATGCACTGATAATAACCCAAAACGTATCAGGTCTGAGCATTGTGCTATGACATATATGTACCAAGTTTCATTGTAATGTGATGATTAGTACTTGAGATATCAGTGGAAAGCCGAAAATTTACTAATCATTATGCAAATTAGGTGACTAATATGCAAATATATTTATTCAAAACTAAATAGGCATGTGTATAGTAGTGGAGCGTCTATGTACCAAGATTTATTGAAATGTAATAATCAGCATTTGAAATATAATCAGAAAAATCAATAATTTACTAATTATGCAAATTAGGTAATTCATATGCACGGATATCAAACAAAAAACTTATCAGACATATGCATTGTCCTATGACATCTATGTACCAAGTTTCATTGTAATGTGATGGTTAGAACTTGAGATCTCAGTGGAAAAGCCGAAAATTGACTAATCATTTTACAAATCAGGTACAAATTTGTATCAAATTTAATAAGTTCAGTACGTAGTTCTAGAACATCTTATAAACATCTAAGTTTCATTGAAATATAATGATGATTATTATACATCTGTCACCGTAATGCCATAAGTTACAGTGGGCCATAATTTTATGGTATTGCACTGGGTTCATCCTACCATATTAGGAAACACAAATTCCAAATATGGAAAGATTACGTGCGTAAGGGTCTTTAATAATAAAAAACAAACACTGCTCTCCCCAGGATTTGGCCGTTTTGGATGCAAATTAGGTGGTTAATATTGATTTTTTACAAAACTAAAAAGGTAAGTGCATAGTCCTAGAGCATTTAGGTACCAAGTTTCATTGAAAAATTCATTAATTATGCAAATTAGGTAATTAATATGCACAGGTACAAAAACTTATCAGGTCCGTGCATTGCTCTATGACATCTATATAACAAGTTTCATTGTAATGTGTTTAATGACTAATCGTTATGCAAAATAGGTATTTAATATGCATGATTTTTTACACAAAATTAATAAGGTCTGCGCATTGCGCCAAATAATCTATGTACCAAGGTTAAAAATTCAATGAATAGATCTTTAGATACCTGTGAAACAGTCATGGAACAGCTAAAAATTAGCTAATTATCAAGCAAATTAAGTTTTTAATATGCAGTTTTAACCCAAAACCTAATCAAATCTGCTCATTAGCCCAGAGCATCTACGCATCAAGTTTCATCAAAATGGTTCTTGAAATATCAGTGGAACAGGAAGACACGCACACATGTACGTACGTAGACACACACATACACGTTTCCAATTGTGTACTTCACACATATTAACTATACAGCGGAAACAAGACCAACATTTAAAAGCACCACACAAACAAACTTGAATTAAATTAGCAGTGTATCAGGTGTGGTTAACAACCTGTTAAAAAGCTATCATTTCTGAAAATCATTTCTTGTACACCACAGGCAATTGTAAGTAATGATTTCATCAATTCATATCACATAACAATATTTTTGACTGTTGACAAAATGATCTCTAAACAATACGTTTTTCAGTGAAATGTCTTAGCCAGCCCTGGAGTAAATAATGATACATAATAGTTAGTATAGAGAACATTTTGTTCCATTAATAATGGGTAGCATACTTTCAATGTGGTACTGCAAATTCTCCTATTATTTGTCACAATAATTTAGGCATCAGGGAAGAATGAAATGCCTCCTAAAACTAGCATAATAACCAGCTGAAAAAACTAGTCAACAAAATTGGTATTTCCACATAATAACAATGAATACTCAGTGATTTCAATGTAATATGTATTGGTTTTAATTTTGTTGGTAACAAAAGTTATACATGTACATCAAGTTTCTAATAAAGCAACACAAATGCACTAGCCTTGCTTAGATTACGGGTAGCACAAACCAGTCATTCTGTGTTTCACAAGTGAATAACTTAATTGTTTTCAAGGTGTTGCAATTCATTGTTAATTATTACTCAGTTGTGATTACAATAATGTACAATCAATTTGTTAGATTGTTATGAATTACAAATAAAATTAAACTATAGCTTATTTAAATATGGTAATGAGGGTCACTGAATGGCGAACAAAACACAGAAGCAATTTACCGATGTTGTAGTACAATCTTTGGGCATTGATTTTAGAGATAAAACGGCATAATCTTTTTTTAATCAAGAAATTAGTAGTTTTTCGAAATATAAACTGAGCATTGAAAAATAATAAACAGAGTTTACTCATTCACGCTATTCACAATAAACATTGTACTCTTGAATAGGCATCAATGACTACAGAAAAACAAACATGCTTGAATTTTGGCAACAGGAAAGACTGAAATGTTACGATAATACACATACCCGGTAATATAATGTAGTGACAGTTTGAGGGCAAAATAAAAATATCTGGTCTTAACACATTGATTCTCACAACTAAAACACAATTTTGATCTGAGTGAATAAACATCAGTGCTGGCAGTAATCATGTACTTAAGATTCAGCCCAGACATGCATTTTCATTAATTGCACGATGGAAAAAGAAGATCTGCATAGTAACTGCTTTTCTTTGTGTACTCCTTGAACTCAATCTCTGATAAGGAACCTGTAGGCAATTGAGAAAAAATAAAACAAAATTACCAGCATAACCAATAGCATGCTCATCTGAAACCTTGCTCATAGACAAGATTTCAGCAGGTTGGCAGACTTTTGGCAAAAATTAAACTGTTCGTAAAAGTCAATCATGCAAAAATACTTTACTTTTCCCTGCAGTTCTACAGCACTGCTTATAGAATATTTGGTCACGGTTCGATGAAAATAATGCTATTTTTTTAATTTGCTATGAAATATATTTAAACTTCAACTTGTTTTATCATGAGTGAATGTTTTATAACACAAAATCTGTTTTGTAAAAACGTAGATTCGTCATGATTTTTTAGGCAGGAGTTGGGCTGCCATGGTGATCTTTAACCTTGCGTTTTCCTGGGTCTGGTGTACACAATAGTAGCGCAGAATTGCCATAATGATAGATCACACAACACTGTCACATAGACCCTAAAATGTGCGGACTGTGGCAAAATGCACCATATATCAACAGTTATATATGAAAATCACAAGAGACAAGAGTGCCATTCAATGAGAGGAATCTGACACAAAAATATATACAACAAGCAGTCTGTCGGCTGATATAGCTTCACTATATAGTTATACAGTTGAACGTTTTTTTTACCGAAATTGACAAAAATATTCATTAAAACTAGAAAATTTTACCTACTGTCCCCAAATAAACAAATCCGTCAAAGGTCCACCCAATTGAGCTGGCCTTTTTAAAGAAGAAGTCAAATTTTTTTTTACCAAACATATTCATCAAAATTAGAGATTTGAAGATATCTTTACATAATGAACAAATTGGAGAGAGATCCACCCAGAGTACATATATACAATGTATCAAGTATCAAAGCAGGCAGACTTGCTGTTTTCAGGAAGAAGTCCAAAATGTAAAGTTGACATTGACGGCCATAGAACAATCAGTGATGTGAACATTTTTGCTCGGATGACGAAGTCGCCAACATACCTAAATATACATCTTTAGCTTTCTACACTATTTTACTAATCATTAGACCTTTAAAAACAATGGTACATGTAATTTAAATCCTTGATAAAACTTACTTTTTATTTCACCTTGTTGTTCAGATTTTTGTTCCAGCTCATTCTTGTTTTCCTCTAGGTATTTCAGCTATTAAAAATGAAAAGAAAATTACCATTACATGTACATGTAACAGAGGTAGCAATAATACAACGACAGCATGCATTTTTAATTTTGCAGTTTGGTTTCTACAGTTGGCCGATACAACATCACATTTTTTACACACGCATCATACTAGTACACGAAGAGTATATACATATAAATAAATTGTATTAAGATTATTTTATTATTTACAAAGCACCCCCACTGCAAAAAACAAATATTTACATGACAAGACTAGATGAAAATTGATGTTATGTAAAAAGTTCCCAGGAGACAATCCAAAATTCAACCTTCCCTTAATCTATCAGTATTATGTTGACCAGAAAATTCTTGAATTACAGTGACCAAACTATTTGGAGTACAAAGGTTGTGATGTGCTGTGTATACATCAAGGATATAGACAACTTGTTGCATGGTTCTACCTGCCATGTTCATGTCTTTTACGTGGGGGGTAACGCATCACAACATCAAATCAGAATGTGATTCACTATGATGGATATTCCATTTCTTGGGATAAATCTTATGTTTTGTGGTATCATTAGGTTCAAATAACCTTGATACAGAAACTGTGAAGCAAGAAAATCGACACAGCTGATGAAGTAAATAAGGCAGTGCTTTGCCACTTGTCATCCAAACCAGTGAAACTTCCCCATAGTTTGTACACCAACCAGAATGATGTAGAGTTGTTTTGTGATTGTTGATTACTTTATTTCTTGCCTTGGTGCCCTCTCGCATGACATAGACAATATAGTGCAGTATCCATCTTGCCCAGTACTTGTTCAAATTTATATGTTCACCAAGTTCTGACAGAAGACTGCGATTGTGGCTTAACGCATTGCCTGCTGAAAGCAACGACAGAAATGACTGAAAAAAAAAACTGCATCAGCACTCCATGTGATAAGGTGAGGGTTACCTTTGATTACGAATCACAGCATCTATGATTGAACTACGGAGTCCAGATTTTTGCCAAGCATCAGTGGACAGCCTCGATTTGTGACAGTTTAATGGCACAGAGGTAAAGTTTGTTGGTATACATTCCTTCATGATTCTGACTGTACTGTACTGTTCCTGAGTAAATCGACGAACTGTTTTTGCCACACCATTATTTATGGCATATTTGGTAATATTCACTCATGTCTCATCACCGTAATTGTTGCACCACTCACACTTTCGTTTCTGATCACAACTCCTATTGATGGTTATATTGACGTGTACGCTTAAGTCAGGAGCTATGTTGTGCATTTGCATGTTTTCAGCATCATCTAGTCTAGTAGACAAGGATGAAAAGGCATCATTGGTCTTTTATTCAACCACTGGAGCAATGCAAGGAACCTATTTCCATAGAATGAGTCACATGACCAAGCTCAGGAAAGCTGGTGATTATAAAAATTTTTTTCTTTGATTTTTCAGCAAACTATTAAAACGTTGGATTTCAATTGATAGCTTTATCATTTTGAAAATTAAGTGACAGTTTTCTTATTGTCCAATACGTGTACTGAAAGTTGAAAGTAGTCGCTATGCAGGAGGTCAACACGGTGTTGTACTGATGGAATACAGCTATCATGATTTCTCTAAATTGCACACATCACAGAATCTCTTAATCACAAAATAAAACACACACTGACACAATATTTAATGATACAAAATTATCAGCTAACAAGTTATTAATTAAATGCATTCATACTGTAACATCTCATATATGCACGTTTTTTTCATATAATTTTGTTTTATACAAAAATATTTTTGTTTTATACAGAGTGGTTTTTGTCACATCTAAACGATATTTCCAAGGTACATGGAGATAAAACAATGTCTGTTTTAGAATGCATTGCCAGCATTTCTTGCCAGAATTTTGCATTAATTTACATCAGACAATAGAAAACATTAAGTATAAGGAACGCTGTCAAATTTAGACCACAATCCCTCCTCCAACCATTACTTTGTTAATTTAGAACCAAATTTTTATTCTTCACAACAATGATTTTTTTCACAAAATCTTTCACCTACACCCCTGACCCACCAACACTTAAAGTG